CAGTGAAAACTGAATATGCAAAATGTTTTGCTGCCTTTGGCCGGGYGTTTGAAATCACAAGTTATTTTTAAAACCGTGATTAATATCRGCAACTAGTACCTTGAGAACAAAAAGATAAGACATAAGGCATAAATCTCAGTCTCAGATTAAATTAAATTCATAAGAGCTGACTAACCCTGTGTCTGTTTTTCTTGTTTCTTTCTTTTTCTTTTCATGCTTCCCAAGCAGACGTCTGCCATTTCTCAATCCAGAGGTCAGTCACTTCATTATGCAGCCTYGAAACCATCACAGAAGAGCCCGTCCTTGCCAACGAAAACCATCACTGCAGCCTTGCCTTCCCTCTGCCCRTTACCCCTTACAGCGATTCTGAGGAAGGGTCTGGGTCTGACCACTCCACCGAAGCTCTGTCAGAGGGGAGCAGCACACCCAACCAGCCTCGAGAATCTCCATCCTCCCGGGAACAAAGAACAAATCTGGCTGCAGAAGATCAAGGGCAGGATGTCCCAAGAGCAGCTGACACAAGTTTAGCAGCCCCAGAGGACGAGAGGACGAGCATGGCAGGACATCTCACGGAAGGAAATGGCTGGACGCAGTGCAGTGAAGCTGGAGATCAGGGAGGATCAGCAGCACAGCCCCAAAAAGCCAGGCTGGTAGAGGCAGCAGATCACAGCSCTGGCCAACCCGTAGGCAACAGCCAGAAGCAGAACAACCACCCRGGTGAGATATTAACAGATGTGAAAAGCACCTCAGAATCCAAAGGGCAAAACCTGGGTGCAGCAGCTGTTCCAGCACAGCAGAACAGTGGCACTGACAGCACCCAGGCAGATCCTCCCCACACAGCCCGGGCTGCACCGGCTCTCCCCATCCCTGTTCCTCAGACCAGCTCTTACACGTTGGCAAGAAGGGCAAAGAGTGAAGGACTGAAGACGTCAGACTCCTCAGCCTTAATAAAAATTCCGAGCAGCCTGTCCCCAGCAGCAGAAGTGTACTTCGATGCCACCGTCAATGATCGCATCTGGAGCAAGCTGGACTGCGGCAGCCACCGGGACAGCATGTCCTCCTCGTCCAGCATGTCCTCCAACGACACCGTGATCGACCTGTCCCTCCCCAACCTGGCTCGCAAGAGCCTCCCGGACCTGGGGCTGCGCCAGGACAGCCTGGAGCCGCTGGCCGTCAGGAAGGGGATGCGCCCGCGCTCYGCCACCGGCTGCAGCAACGAGATGCCCATGGTCAGCAAGAGCAAGTCCAACCCCAACCTGAGGTGTGGCCAGCTGCCGGCTGACGAGCTGTGCCCCCGGCCCCTGGCCAGGAGCCCTCAGGACACGTTCTCCTCCATCCCCAGAAGGCACACCTGGAGCAGGCTCTACATGGAGAGCCTCCGGCAGTCCTCCAACAAATCCAAAGCGCACGACTTGATTGAMAATAACCAGACAAAGTCCAAAAGCCTCGGGGACCTCACCTCTGATGATATAGTGTGCACTTTTGAGAGCAAATACCGCAGCATCAGCAGGAGCTTCGTCACCCGCTCCATGCGGGAGCAGCGGCGCTCCTCGGGCCTCAGGCCCTCGGCCAAATCCCRCGACGAACTCACCGAGCAGCTCAAGAAGCTGACGGCCTTCCAGCAGGAGAACGACATCACGTCCCCCATCAGCCTGGAGCCCGCCGAGTCGGAGGAGGAGGGCGAGAGCRCGGGGCTGCTGCGGCGCTCGTCGTCGCGCAGCCAGAGCCGCGTGCGCTACATCGCCAACCGCGCCCGGCAAGCCCAGGAGAGGCAGCGCCTGCAGGGCCGGGCCCAGCTCGGGGGCAGCCCCATCGAGGAGAGGGGCAATCCTGAGGGGGCCTGCAGCGTGGGCAGAGCCGGCTGCACTGACCCCACAGCCCCCATGGCCTTGCCCTCCGAGCCCAAAGCGCCGAGCGACTGCGGGGCGGACACCGAGGTGTTCTTCATGCTCAAACTGTGAGCGGTTTACATGCTCCAAGCGGGCGCTGTTTACACTCCTGTCACGGCAAAACCTGGCTGCCCCAGGGGCATGGAGCATCCTCCCCCGGCTCAGTGCTTCCTGGCCTTGCCTTGAGCCCCCAGGGTGCTGTATATCACCACTCCAAAAACACAAATGAGTATTTTTAATTGCCACCCTCCCATCCGGCCTCCTTCACGCATGACCACTCATTGCGTTTGCAGCTTTCTCCTGGTCTTTACTAATTTCAATAATTCCTCTGATCATAGGTAACCTTGATGTTCAATAGCTAAATGTGATGCTAACCACAACTAAGGGAAATTTTGCTGTGACAAATTGTGGCTCCATGTAAGGAGGCTGGACTTAAAAACGCATTTTATTTTCTGGAAGAGTTTGAGGCCTCTGAGGGTGTGAATCAATAATGTATCAGACACAGTCCATCTTCCATCATGGACCTGCTTATTTCAGTGAAAATCCCAATTTTCTCTTTGAAGAAGAGCTCTCTTGTTCCAAAGCAATGCTTTTATAAACCCAGCCTGTTTATATATCTATATATAAATATATATATATATCTATATATACACCTGTGTGTATGCAAAGACACGTCTGCACATGTATGTACACWTGCACACCCCGAACTGAACTGTGACTGTTCCTTGTCTCAAAGCATTGTCTGAGGGAATTGAGACAGGAGGGAGAAGGGAATGGCTAAAAATAGACATAAAAATTTCTGACTTGACTTCAGAAATGGCAAAGGAGCGTGTTAGTCCTTTCCTGAAACAGCACTGTCCCTTCCGATGGTATTTTAACCATGCTGCTGTACATAGCACTTTTTGGATGAATTTTACTATTTCTGTATTGCACTGCCATGCAAAATTTTCAATGATATGTTTAAAAAAGAGAGATATTTAATTTTTTTAGATGGAACGTATTTAGAATTAAATAACGACCTAAACAGAGTAATAATTTTTCCTCCCCACCTTTTTTTTTTTTACTTTTTATTTTTAGGGATGTTGTCATGTGTTCCCCCCCAACCCCCAATTACGATGTCATTTATTAGAGATGTACATTTTATCAGTGATGGAGAAGAATGTTTACTGAGATGCATTTTAAAGAGAAACAGAGGTTTAATTTTATTTCAGGCTGCATAGAGTCCCTATTATTGAGAGGATATTTTGCCTTTGTAATGATTCTTTTGTGTATATTGCGAAATTTAAGAATTTGTTTGTAAAACCACCTGACACTACTAAAATAAACATATTTAACCTTCCAGCTGGTGAGTCTTTAGCCCWAACAAAACACACTGGGGTCTGTGCTACACAAACATGGCTCATTCTATCTGCTTTGCYTTTGACCTTCCTTTGTGGATAACATTTTAATTTTACTCTTTTTCAGAGTGGTAGCCAGCTCAGACCCAGCTCAGGTTTTCTCAGGTCCTCCAGAACCAAGCAAGGATTGGCAGAGGCTGATGTTCCRTGGTGTGAGACACAGCACAGGRGCTGGGGCAGAGCCCTGGCTGGGASGATGGAAATTCTGGCTGTAATCAGTAGCCAAACACACAGAAGGAGCTGCTCCWTTCCAGAGCAGCTGTACAAGTAACACAGATGGCCCTGTTTCATCACTGAGGGGGTTTAAAGTCTGGCTGAAAATGCTGCAGCACAGTTTTGCTCTTCACCTGTCACTTGACTGAAAAATCGCTTCTATTCCTGTCCCAGCAAAGTGCACAGTGAAAGCGCGTTTTGCTCCCTTCACACTCCTCCTGGAAGGGTTGTCACTTGTGGAGCTGGCAAGGGTTTTTTTATTTCTAATTTTAGTATCATTTTTAAACTGAAATAATACCAAAGTGGCGACAAAATTTGAACTCTGAGATACACAAATATAAGSCTGGCAGTGTTACCACCGTAACACAGAGATGGGGCTGGAGGGGTTAAATWTCTGATTTTTTTTTTTTTTTTTTTGACAAGCTCTTCRGTGTGTTTTGTCTGAAAACATTCCCTCGTTTTTCCAGATCTTCACTGCTTTTCTGCAGGATTCCCACCCAGGAATCCCAGGAGAGCTGAGATTTGGGATGTGCCCCGAGATGACCCCACAGCATCACTGTGGTGTCAGCAGGAAAGGAGGTGAAGCTGCAGCAGAATTTGGGATTTGCCCACAGGAGCCTCCCATTGTGCTTGGCACAAAGCAAATTTCATTAACATTCTCTGGACGAAAAAGCCATTCCTTGTAACACTCGAATTCTGGCCTGAAAAGCTGCAGGGAGTTGCTGCTTTTGTAACTTTAATGCTTTTGTAACTTTAATGTCAAGTACATGCAACTTGACGGCTTTGGGGAGTTAATGTTTCAAAGGCCTATTTGTGTCTCCTCAAAGACTAAGCCTTGCAATCAGATTATTTTCATCTTTAATTGATTGAGCAATACTTGTGAAATTAATGYACCTCGCAGGAGGCAGCACTTCAAAACATTTATCTTTGTTGAGGATTTTCAGTGTCTGGATTTAACTCGTTAGGGCAGATCTGAATTAGCAGTAATCACCTTCAGAGCCTGTTTTGTGACACTACCAAATACCATTAATCATGTATTTATTTCTTCCTATGAGTGGATTTTTTTTCCAGCATTTAAGAATTATTTTGGAATTTATTTTAAGAATTATTTTGGAATTTATTTTTAGAATTATTCGGAATTAAAGTCAGCGGGAGGTCACAGTTCTGCTCTTCACTCATCAGCTTTTCCTGTGCATCCTCAGACTCCTGTGTGTGGATTTCAGTTCATTAAACTGTGAGATCTGAAATCCAGAATCTCCAAATCACAGGCAGGGTATTGCCCACGGCTGGATCTGGAATTTCTGATCTGTATTCTTCCATTCAGGAACACTGATAATGAACATTTGATTGTCTCTTTCCAAGATGATTTTGTCCCTTTGATCAACAGGCAGGAAAAATGGGCACAGCTGCCTGGGATGGTTCCAAAAGGAGGAATTTTACAGGAATGCCACAGACCAATAATGGAATTCTGTGAGTTTTGCTGCAATATCCAGCTGCTGGACTGAGCTGCTCCCAAACTTTGGTGGAATCTCCTCCTTCCCCAAACCCCAAGTGCCCCCCTGGTCCGAGCTGGCACGTTCAGAGGCCCCTCCTCTTCCTCCTCCTCCTCCTCCTCTCCCGGGTATTTAATCCAGCCCTGGATGCCCGAATCTGTGGGAATCCCATTCCTTTTGTTCCCGAGCATCCCCAGCTGCTCCTGCACAGCCCCACGGACGGACAGACAGGCCAAAGGAGACTCTGTAAGTGAGAAAATGCCTTCAATTCCTGCTCCAGRATCAAAATCTGATGCCACAGGACCCTTCCTGGCTTTTTTTTACCCAGATTTTCACCCTATTTGTACTCTTAGATAATCTTAGATTAYCAGCAGCCAGCACCTTAACCCCTCTTTCTTTCCAAGGTGATGCCAGCAATGTAATGCCAGCTCTGATTTATTTGGATTTGGGTTTTTTATTTGTTTGTTTGTGGTTTTAAATTTTTTTTTTGGTTGGTTTGGTTTTGGGGTTTTGTTTTTTTTTTTTTTTGAAGGAGGCCACTTGAAATAAAGATAATTATACCAAATTATAAGGGAAAAGGAACAGGAATTTACAATTTAAACCAACCAGGAAAAGTCCTTCTTTTCCTTTCTCTTCCCCAGTGGGTGATGCAGCTGCTCAGTTTTTGTGCTGCTCTGGCAACAGCCGAGAGCAGTGAGAACTTTGTTGAGAAAGTATTTGAGAATAAAGTCAGCAAAGCTCAGATGTCAGCCCCCTCCTCTGGTCCTTTCACAAAGATAAAATATTCCCATTTAGAAGCATTTTTTAACAGTAACAACAAAATCAGCATTGAAATTTAACCCGGAAAGATTTCTGTGGAGGTTTAATTATTTCTCTCATTAAGTAAAAAAATACAGGGAAAATGAGTGAGGGAAAGTACTGAGCTGTAATCCAAGGGATTTCATAGGAGTGCAGGAATGGGGAAATTTCCTAAAAGCTGATGAGGTAAAATAACAAAATCCAGTGTTTTCTGAGCATCACTCTGCTGCAATAATGCCATGTATAGAGTATTTTTGCCCATACACTGTCATAAATTGTGAGTTTTTCTGGTCATCTTTAATTTATTTTTTATCACTTCTGGGGTAATAATGGTGTTCTGAACCTTGTTTGATATTATGACAATAAATACAATCAAAAATATTGCTGCTGCTTCCTCTCCTCCCCTTTCCCTGGGGAAAACCCACCGGGAGAAAACCACCAGTAATAAATCCCCTTTTTAGATTTTCCACTTCCTTTTTCCTGAAGTTCAGACACCAAAACCTGTCTTTAATTTTTGTTCTGGCTGAGCTCAGCATCAGCTGAGGGGGAAATGGAAAATTTTTTAAAAATTGTTTGGAATTGTGGCTCTGCAGAAAAAGTTGCAGAAAATCCAGGACAAACTGCTCAAACCCAGTGATAAGGAATTTTAGAACCAGGTTTAACTGCTTGCCTTTCACCTCCAGCAAGAAGGTCCCTTCAGAACAGCAGGAATTTCTGCCCCAATGGATAAAGGTCTTCAYTTCACCATCTGTGTGATCACAACCGTGCTGCTCCTGAGGGAATCAAGCCAGGCAGGTGAGGAAAATGACCCAGAAATCTTGGCTGCACCCAAATCTGTTTTTTTTTTATTTCTCCAGAGCATCAATTCCTTCAATCTTTACCTGCCAGTGCTTGCAGGGTTTTGTCTAAATTTAAGAATTTGCTTTCAAATTGGTCATTAAGTGATCCTCAGGTGATCTGTGACTTGGTGAGTGCTGCTGCCAAAAGCCTTTGGTGTCCCCAAGTGTCTTTGGTGTCCCCAAGTGTCTTTGGTGTCCCCAAGTGCCTTTGGTGTCCCCAAGTGCCTTTGCTGCTGCAATTGAAAGCCAGAGATGATGGAGATGGGGGAAGAGGAAAAAGCCAAGAAAAAGGTTTAGGTGTCATTATTTGGGTTAAAGCTGCATTTCTTTGAGTTTGGGGTCCCTAAAGACAAACTGAGGATGGGGGAGAAAACTGAGGTGATGTGTCCAGTSCTGACCAGTGTCGGGTCCCTTTTCCCCTGGAATTCAGTAGGAGCCTCCCATTGGAAGGCTGGGCAAACTCAGAGCAGCAGGAGAAAGGAAAAAAAAWKRWTTTT